ATTGCAAATAGTAAGATTTCATGTTTTTGATGGCTAAGTAATATTCCTGTGTGTGTGTGTGTGTGTACTTGACTATATATATATGTATATATATATACACATGTATATATACATGTATATACATATATATACAAAAAGGTTTATATATATATAAACTTTTTTTAATACATTCATCTGTTGATGGACATCTGGGATCTTTCCATATTTTGGTTATTATGGACATTGCTGCTATAAACATTCGGGTGCAGGTGACCCTTTGGATCATTATGTTTGTGTCCTTTTGGGTAAATACCTAGTAGTGCAATTGCTGGATTTTGGATAGTTCTGTTTTTGACTTTTGTGGAACTTCCATACTGTTTTCCAGAGTGATACAGAAAAAAGCATATGACAAAATACAGCACTCTTTCTTGATTAAAACTCTCTGCAGTGTAGGGATAGAAAGAACATACCTCAATATCATAAAAGCCATATATGAAAAGCCCACAGCAGATATTATTCTCAGTGGGGGAAAAACTGAGAGCTTTCCCCTAAGGTCAGGAACACAACAGGATGTCTACTCTCACCACTGTTGTTCAACATAGTACTGGAAGTCCTAGCCTCAGCAATTAGACAACAAAAAGAGATAAAAGGCATCCATATCAGGAAAGAAGGAGTCAAATTTTCACTCTTCACAGATGGACTCCACCCAAAAATTGCTGGAACCCATACAGGAATTCAGCAAGTGGCAGGATATATAATCAATGCACAGAAATCAGTTGCATTTCTGTATACTAACAATGAGGAAGAAGAAAGAGAAATTAAGGAATTGATCCCATTTATAATTGCATCAAAAGTCATAAGATAACTAGGAATAAACCTAACCAAACACTTCAAATGACCTGTACTCTGAAAACTATAGAACACTCGTGAAAAAAATTGAGGAAGACACAAAGAAATGGAAAAACATCCCATGCTCATGGATTGGGAAAACAAGTATTGTTAAAATGTCTATGCTACCCAAAGCAATGTACATCTTCAATGCAATCCCTATCAAAATACCAGGAATTCTATTTCAAAAGTAATAGCTGAACATGTAAACAAAGGTATATGCACAAGAATATTCCCATAAAAGCAAAACATTGAAATTTCAGTATGATAGGATTAACTAAATAAATCATGACCATGTGTATATTGAGATTTAACCTTAAATTTTAAAAAGTATAGACACATCGTTGTCATTGAAACTTGTTCACAATGCATTATTAGAAATAAATCTATATCAGATTATAAAGCATCACATATAACACACACATATTTATATATAACAACTTCAAGTAAGATTTATAGAAAAATCCCTTCATCCCACTTTGAGTGGGAAAATGCAATGTCCTTCTCAAGATTTCTATAGAATCTACAGGGTATCCAGTCTTGGTTCTCATGATCACCTCTTGCTGCAAACTCCTGTATCTGTAGAACTTTTTATTTCATTCATTTTTTCTCAGTTTCTGTCTATTCTTGACTTTCTGCCCCACATCTACTAGGATAAGTTACATACCCTGGTTACTTGTACCAAAAGACATGTTCAGAAATGTTACTAGCAAATTGTTCTTAATAACAAAATACCTAGGAAATGTTTAAAAGCCTATTGTCAGGAGAATCTGTAAGTGAATTATTTTATACCTATATAGTGAACTCCAATACCACATAGAAAAGAAATGAAACACAGAAAAGTCATAGAAGAGCAAGAATATTTTATACTGTTCTTATGAAATTCAAAAGCATGTAATACGAAACAATTTATTCTTCACTGATAATTACACATATAGTTAAATTTCAACAACAATCCAAGGAATTATAAACACGAAGTTCCACAGGAATTAGCCCTGGTTAGGGAGGGAGGGAGAGGGACTAGAAAGGGGAACACGAGTGGGAATGGAGGTTCAATGGTAATGTTCTAAACTGAGTAGTGCACATATGCAGATTTATTTTATTATTTTGTTCTATCACATATCCATCCTCTTTCGAGGGATACTAGTCAGATACTTATTTAAGTGTACCTTTTTTTGACAATATGAAATATTTGAATAAAAAAGCACAGTTTTGCTTTCTTTTTTCAATCATTTTCTTCCTTTGGACCTCTCACTGTCCATAAAGAAACTGTGTACTGTAGACTTCTCCAATTAGAAGTAATGGCACTTTCTTCAGAGGCAGATGAGAGTACACTTCACTGTTGTTTAATATATTTTTTTCTTTCCTTTGCACACACCCACATGTCCACACACACACATTTACAGAGGGAAGCAGTCTGGGAGGATATACACCAAAATATTACTACGAGTTATCTGAGCATGTTGCATTTTCATGTAATTTTTTTCTTTTTCTTTACATTTTATAATATTTCTGTAATAAACATTATACTTCATTTTTAAGGGGACAGCAAAATAATTCATCCTGTGTGGTTAAATTTCAGAGTATCTTTCAAGGCCATTAAGTCTTTGTATTTCTTTACAAACAGAGTACAATTCCAGTCTAACCAAATCCATGAAGAATGGGTTGTTCTGATTAACAGGTTGTTCTGATTTTAGGATGAACTAGGGTTTAAACTAGACACTTTTTTCAAACTCTTTATAATCTTTTTGTTGTAATCTCAGTTTTTTTCACTTTTGATGTGCAAAACAGTAAGCAATACCAGTAAACAATAATAATAACCAAACTAAAAAGCAATTTATATCTGAATAAGGCAAAATCATTTCCCTAACTGCTAGGTAGAATTTGTTAAAAAGGACATTAGAAAATGTTCAGTTGATCAGTAAGTATTTTTTGAGCACCTACTGTGTGGTAGGACTTGTTTTAGATTTTGGGGGTAGAGTGGTGAACAAGACAAATTCCAGCCTTCAGGGAGTTTATAGCCCTCTGATACATTCAGTCTACAACGAATGTGTGTGTGTGTGTGTGTGTGTGTGTGTATGTATGTGTGTGTGTGTGTGTTTAAAAGATTTATTTACTTATTTGAGAGAGAGATCATGAGCAGGGGAGGGAGGGGGTTGTAGAGGGAGAAGAAGACTCTCCGCTAATCAGGAAGCCCCATGTGGAACTTGATCCCAGGACTCTGGGATCATGACCTGAGCAGAAGGCAGATGCTTAACTGACTGAACCATCCAGGCACCCCTACAATGTGTTTTATAGATAATTTTATCAATAGATAGTTCTACTGAACGAGTAGTAACAGGAGTTTCTTTTGTAACGAGGAGTAACGAGGAGTTTCTTCTGTTGCTTTATAATGTATTTTTCAGCTATTGTTACATTAGTGCATTTTTATTTTAAAGATAACCAATATTATTAATTAATATTGTTTAGATATTGTTAGAGCATTGTTTTATATATCAACTCAAATTTGCCCTTTTTGACTTATAACATTAGTCTTTGTTCTGCTTTTAAGAACTTAAGAGTAAATCTACCACAGTAGCTTTCCCCCCTTCCCAGCTTTGTAGGATAATTCTTTAGGAATAGCCATTCATATACATTGAGAAAACTACTATGCTGCTGTAAGGCTTCTCCAGGATAGTATGCTCCAGGTCTTTTCATCATTTCATCTGCGACATGGTTTTTAAATCATAGACCATCTTGATTGCTTTCCTCCAGATGCTTTCTACTTTGTCACTCTTTGTTGTTAAAAATAAATTACTCCCAATTTCCTGCTTTCAGTAGGGTAGAGTGAACATAATTGACTCTCTAATGTGTGAGTGTCTGGTATGATCTGAAAGCAATTACACTGACCTTGAATATTTACTCTACAGTACTGTAAATATCACCATAGAAAAAATAGGATCTTAAAATAAATCTTTACTGCCCTTGGATTTATCCTGGAAGATTTTTTGAAAATGAATTTATTTTTTTATTTATCTTTTTATTTTGATAATGAATTATGCTTTATAAAGGTAAAAAACATCAAAAAGCATGATTAATTATGAAATTCATTATGCTGGTATCTGTTTTCTTCTCTAGTAAACTGTGCTTTCTGAGGGCAAGGGTTATATCTTTTTAATTTTTAAAAATCTCTATCACTTAGCATAGTCCTAAGTATATATGATAGATGCCCAATAAATATTTGTTGAACAATTAATGCCCTGTATAAGAAATTAAGATCTTGTGAAATGAAATGAATTCCTACTTTTAGAATACATCAAAGAAGCAGTAGTATAGAATTGGACCTTAGTTTTATCTTAACCTGAAAAGAGAAACTTTAGTGTATTAGTTTGCAGTATTCACAAAGAAAAAATAATAGTGTGTTATGTGGGAATACTTTTACTTCTAAATGACAAAAAGCCCTATTAGCAATGGCTCAAATAATATAAGAACGTTTGTACTTAAGAAGCCTGGAGTAACTAACTAGTCCTGGGGCTCTTTCAGTAAGCTCGGAGATATCATCAAGGTCCCAGGCTCTTTTTATCCTTCGTTGCCTGTTACCTTTTTGGTCTTAAGCTTATTGCCTATGGTCACAACATGCCTGTCCTACCTCCAGACATCAAAACTGCACCCAGAGACTAGAACCTGAGGATGGCTAAGCTCTACAAGGGCCCCATTTTCCTCTGGGGAGAAAAAATATTTTCCCAGAAGCCTCCCTTTCATCCCACTGGCCAAACTTGAGTCATATGGCTCTGGCTATCTCTAGGAAGCAGGCAAGGGAGTAGAGTCTCAGGAATGACTATTAACTAGTTAAGCAACAGTTTATGTCACAACTAGAAAATTGCCATATACTACAAAAAGAGATCCTGACAGGAGATTATGAACTTTACTGTCAGTGGTTAATTCAGAAGAATCAAACTGTCAGGACACTTCTAAAAAGATCACTGATGATATTAGGGTTACATGATGGCATAACTTATTCAAACAGATGAATCAGCACCTCTTAATCACTTTTGGAAGAACTGATGAATCTGATTATCTTTTCTAGTTTTTATAAATCAAACAAGCTGTGTCTTTATCACAAAGCTATTTTTATTTTTTCTCCTTCCTTTCAGGAGTCCTATCCAAAGAAGAGGAATTACACTATGGAAATTGTACCATCTGCTTCTCTGGATATATTTCCTTCAGAAAATGAGAACTTTCTATGTGATCTCACGGACATAGCCGTTACAAAAAAACCTTGCTCCTTAGAAATCGCAAGGGCCCCTTCTCCAAGATCTGGTAATATTTCTTTTTTAAAATTAAAAAAAATTTTTTAGAAGTAATAATATTTTTTACTCACAATTGGACCAATTCAATTTGTATGCCTGTATATGTGATATTATATCATTAATATTTTGATTTTCCCGAAATTTTAAACATGAAAGTGCTCCTTATAGTCAAACTTATCTTTTTTTCTTTTTTTTTAGCATTTTGAAGTCTGTCCAGGTAGGTCAGAGTTTTTGATATAATGTCTTTTAACTTCCTGACAAGAACTCTCAAGGAGTGGTACTCCCTTGCTGAAGGTACTTTGAAACCTTGCAATAGTGAAAAACATCTAGGTCAGACACAAAGCTTGGGATCCTTTAGAACTTCATAGCAGATTTAGTAGCAAGAGTCTTTTTATATACTTTTCTGCATCCTGTTTTCAGGTTATTGAAATGTACTCAGGTACTTCGTATATTTTATACATTTTATGGTATTTTTAGATCCATTATTTTATTTATTTGCCTGATAAATTAGTACACAAGGCAAATAAATATTTTGCCCATTTTACTGATAAGGAAATTGGAGATAAGTGTCTTACTTAAGACCAATTCATGATGGGGCCTTTCTTAAACAGGAATGTCTGACTGTCATCATATCTGCTTTGTGTTACTTGAGCACCGCCTCTAAGAAAGAATGCAGTTTAGAAACGTGAAATCTAATGATGGAGGAACATTTCAAGTGGGTGGTCAATGTATTCAATGTTGCAAAGGGGTTGCAAGAGAAACTCTAAAGAGAGGCATTTTAGGTTTGACAATCTAATTGCTGATTAATTTTGAAAAGTAAGTTTTAGTAGTGATGAGATGAAACCAGATTTCTGGAAGAAGTTAACAGAGAGACACTAGAAAATGGGAGTGGAGAGTACAGAAGATTAGAAGAGTTATGATAATAGATTAGAAGATTAGAACAGTTATGATAATAACATGAGAAGAAAGAGGTTCAAGGAAGCAATAGCTGATTTATTTAAGGATAGGTAAGTCTTGGCCAAGTTTAGAGGTTAGAGGAATTAGAATAAAATGGGTAGAGAAGACTGAGTCCAAGAAAACACAGAAATTGCTTTCCCCAAAAAGAGGAGAAAATAAAGCCTAGTCATGAATATAGAGAGATTCTGAAATATGTATTTCCAAATGGATTAAATTCCTGGGTTAAGATAAAAAGTCAACAGCTGAAAAGAAGGGGCAGAACTTGAGAAGGGTTTAAAGTAAAATTCAGAAATTCCATTTTAGGTAACAAGCTGAGAAGTTTTATAGAAGTGGACAAATAGGTTTTGGAGCAACATTGAGGCTAGGATATTGTATGAATCGTAAGCATGCAAAAGGAAAATTTTAAGATGAGGTAAGAGCATAATAAAGAAAATACTTATCGGAAAGGATGACTACCCAACATGGATGGCACTGGAGGAGATTATGCTGAGGGAAATAAGTCAAGCAGAGAAAGTCAATTATCATATGGTTTCACTTACTGGTGGAGCATAAAGAATAATATGGAGGACATTAGAAGAAGGCAAGGAAAAGTGAGTTAGGGGAAATTGGAGGAGGAGACACACCATGAAAGACTTAGACTCTAAGAAGCAAACTGAGGGTTTTGTAGGGGAGAGGGGTTGGGGAATAGGTGAGCCTGTTGGTGGATATTAAAGAGGGCATGTATTGTATGGAACACTGGGTATGGTGCATAAACAATGAATCTTGGAACACTGAAAAAATAAAATAAAATCTAAAAAAATGTATTGAGCATTACCAAGTGCCAGTTGCTGTTCTAAGTGCTTTATATACCTTATTTCACATAATTCTTACCATGCTATAAGGTAATAATATCATTATTACCATTTTATAGTTGAAGAAACTGTGACACTGAAATGTTGGGTAACTTCCCACAGTTCTATGTTAATAAGGGGTAGACTTGCACTTGGATTGTCTGATCTATACTCTTAAATACTCTGTTATACTGAATTATATTGGGGGATGAAGTATAGTTGAAATCATGAACCACATACTGAAATTCTCAAGAAATGTGGAGGTATGACTGGAAGTCTACATATGGTAAGCAATAAAACCAGAAAAAGAATGTTATAATAGGATAGCATAATCTTTGGAAAAGCAACAGATTTTGGATAAAGACAGAATAGTGGGTGATCAGAAGCAGTCACAGAGAGTGGAGATAGTGCTGATCCCAAACTATAGCAGTTGGTAAGAATGAAAACTCTTCCATAGGAGAGGTAACCAGGAAATACCATGGAAGTTAGGGAGAAATCTCAGTTAATATAGGAAAATGGAAAACATACATGAATGAATATGTAAAAGCACTTTAATTAGAGCATAGGGAGTAGGGGTGTATTGGGGTGGGGGCTGGAGGCAGGAATGAAAGGGTAAAGGAAGACAGGGATTTATTCATTAAACAATAAAAAATTATTGAGTCCCTTCATGTGCAAACCAGTGTTCTGTAAGCTGAGGATATAGGGATGAAAAAGACATGCCCAGGTAACAAGGCTGACTAGGTTTCTCCTGCTGAAAAAAAAAAAAAAAATACAGAAAAGAAAACTTCTGAAAACCATTAGAAAGGTGGCAGGAAAATTATAAAAATTGAATAACATTTAGGTTAGGAACTTTTGGGGGGGTCAGTAGGTTAGTAAGATAAAATCAGGTCAAAACACTGGTGAGGGTGGGAAGCCAGTGGATTACTAAAGCCACTTCTGTCCTGAGGGAATTTTCTGAACCTGCTGTTGAACTCTGGTCTTGAGCCCTCATAAACCTCAAGGTTTATGTACAGAAAAAACAAACAAACAACCCCACAAAAACCTCTGTACCTGTCCAGCACAGAGATTTTAATAGCAAATTCTTCCTCCACAGAGCTGGAACTCCAGGGGCTACACCTTACAGTACTCAGAAATAATTCTGCCCCATAACCCCCACCCCAAGGAAAGGTGACTTGTCATAAGAAGAACAAGGAGGGAAATTCCTGACGTGTTATTACCACAAACTGGTAGTCGCAGTTTGTACCCAAAATTTCTATCACCTGAATGGTACAAAAAATGTCAACCCATGAATTTAGTTTGAAGTAATACCCTTGGACTTCAAGCAGAGGCAAATGTAACCCTTCTAGAAAGGAATATGCTTTTTTACAGGTCCCAAAGAATTTCTATAAATAATTTTCTGATTAAAATTAACAGTGTAAATAATTAAGTCTATAAGAAACCCTGAAACCAGAATCATAGGAACAAGAAAAAATAGATCCACACATGAAGAGACTTCAAATATTTGAATTATCAGATGCTTAAAAATGACCATGCTATTATAAACACACACTTACACATGGAGAAAAACTACCTCAAGTTTAAAAACTCAGTGAATAAGTAGATCAGCAAATTAGACTCAGCTGAAGAGAGATTTTAGTGAGCTGGAAATTAGGGCAGAAGAAGTTTTACAGAATGTGGCACAGAGAGACAGAGATGAAAGATATGAAAGCAAAGCTAAGAGACTTGGAGGATACCCTGAGAAATTCTAACTTGTCTATTTAAATCTTCAGGAGAGGAGAGAGTGAGGCAAAAGTAATATATTTGAAGAACTAATTTTCAAAGAGGCACAGTCTTATTCTTGCACTCACATGGAGGTAGACAAGTGAATAGTTAATTTCAAGAGTGTAATTAGTGTTAAGGCAATGTTACACAAAGTGCTTTGGGAATAGAAAAGAGGAACATTTCAATTTACCTGGGAGCTTGGGAAAGACTTCATGAAGGAGAGGACGTCTGTGTCTGTTACCTATGCTACTTAACAAGCCACCCCCAAACTTAACTGTCTTAGAGGAACATAAGTCATTTCGTTTGTTCACAAATCTGCAAATTTGGCAGAGTTCATTTGGCAGCAATAGCCTGTCTGTGCCACTTGGTATGAGCCAGGGCTACTCAACTAGAGAAGAAAGGACCCATTTTCAAGATAGCCCACTACATGGCTGGCAAGTTGGTGACAGCTTAGAGATTGGCTGGATTTATGGGCTGGGGACCATTTTTCCTCTCCATGGACTGCCTGGGTCTCCTCATCACATACTGGCTAGATTCTAAGATCAAGCATCTGAAAAGAACCAGGTGGAAGCTATATCATTTTTATTATCTAGCCTTCAAAGTCATAGACCATCGTTTCTACTATAGTTCCATATTTACCCAGATTCAAGGGGAGAGAACAGCAACCCCACTTCCTAATGAAGAGTGTCAAAGTTACTTTGTAATAAGAAAATAAATGATGGGAGATACCTTTGCTGTCAGTTTTAGGAAAATATACAGTTTTCCACCATCTGCCCTTTGGGCACAATAATTCATATTCTTTTCCTACGCAAATTATACTTGTTTATACCTTCAGGACTTCCAATCATCAGCCTTTCATAGCACGAGCTCCAGGTCTAGGTTCAGATGTCCATGAGTATCCCTGATATAGTTCTGATGCTGCAGGTTCTTGACTGCTTTGGCTCTTGGCAGTGATGATCTATGAATCAGACAATTTATTAGTCTCCCCTCTTACACACCAAACATATAATAGTGAGTCAGGCATAGGAGAACCATAACTGACACACTCATCTAAACACAGGGAAAACCAGGCACATGGTGGTCACTAGCCTGTGGCAATTCTGAATCTAACCAGGCACAGTTCCTTGATGAAGACTCAGCTTTATGGGGGCGCCTGGGTGGCTCAGTGGGTTAAAAGCCTCTGCCTTCGGCTCAGGTCATGATCTCAGGGTTCTGGGATCGAGCCCCGCATTGGGCTCTCTGCTCGGCAGGGAACCTGATTCCCTCTCACTCTCTGCCTGCCTCTCTGCCTACTTGTGATCTCTGTCTTAAAAAAAAAAAAAAAAAAAAAAGACTCAGGTTTATGGGATAAGAGTTGTTCTCTGTGACATGTGGTTCCACCGTCTGAATCATTATTTTACATAAAAAGTAGCCCATGTTTATAGCTGAGTATCTTTCTTACTTGCTTTTTGTCTGTTAAAGA